TGCCTCGCTCTCTGCCTCTCTCTCTCTCTCTCTCTCTCTCTGCCTTTCTTACTCTCTCTGCCTCGCTCTCTGCCTCTCTCTCTCTCTCTCTCTCTCTCGCTCTCTCTCTCTCTCTCTCTCTCTCGCTCTCTCTCTCTCTCTCTCTCTCTCGCTCTCTCTCTCTCTCTCTCTCTCTCGCTCTCTCTCTCTCTCTCTCTCTCTCGCTCTCTCTCTCTCTCTCTCTCTCTCGCTCTCTCTCTCTCTCTCTCTCTCTCGCTCTCTCTCTCTCTCTCTCTCTCTCGCTCTCTCTCTCTCTCTCTCTCTCTCTGTGTGTGTGTGTGTGTGTGTGTGTGTGTGTGTGTGTGTGTGTCTATTTCTCATCCCTACATTTGCACCAGTTTTCCAAATGCGCTTTCTGAAGCGTGGACGCCGCTTAATCATTTTTCTATACCCATTACCGCGAGGCGACATAGCTGCAGAAAGTAGAAGCCAATCGATATCCCCTTGTACGTACAACAGACGCGTCAGCTGCAATCGCGGCGTCGCGCAATTCCGAGGATCGATTTTGTCAAAAAGTCAACTTTTCTATTGGCAATAGCTCGGGTCGATCGCCGTCCATTATTTATTCGCGGAAATAGTTCGGTCGTTACGAACGTTTAACGTTGGACGGTTTCCGGGTGGCACATTTAGCTTGAGAATAATGCCGATCTTTTGCTCGATGTGACCCGATTGTTCCGGCGCGTATTTTCTATCGACTCTTCTACGGGGGGATAGAGAGCATCTCCTCTCCTGATCAGAAATCATACCTCCGGTTAGCAATTACTGGACCGCGGAGTTTTTCATGCGTATTAAAAATTGTGCACGTTAATCGCAAGATCCAGAATATATTATATTTTATATTATATTATATTTTCAAATTGTATTCACGTTCTTGCTGTTTTACGTTTGACCTATTCGTTTCTGTAACGAACGCGTCAAATCCGCGGTCTAGTAATTAATGATACATCGTAGAAAGCCGTGGTTGATTCTGCGAGAAACGTAGAACAATGGGTATCCGCAGATTACGAAGCGATCGTATTACAGTAATTACATTAAACTGCATAAGGAGGCGAAGGAGATGATTATTTAGGCGCAACATCCTGTACAGCCGGGAAGCATCGTCTCAAAACATTTGTTGCACTTATTTAATTTCATTTACTCTACGCGTCGTCGTATTTTATTTACAATCTTACGGCACTCAATAATTATAAACAATTGTAATTATACAGGGTGGTCTTGTTATCACACGTCGTTGGATTCGTTTTGATCTTAGTTATCGCGATATAATGATAGAAATATGTGATCCTATTTGAAAAAACATCGATGACCTTGAAATCTCGATAAACACGACCTTTAAGAAGAAAAACTACATCCACCGCAATATGTGTCCCTTCGAACCGTACAATTTGTTCTTCTAGCATTTTTGAGTATCGTTAACGATAATGGAGATATTGCTTTGTTGTAACAGCTTTAGCAAATCACCCTGTATACAGGGTGTCCCCAAAAATGTCTCGTAATCCGGAAATGGCGGGTTCCTCAGGTCATTTGAAGCAACATTTTCCTTTACAAAAATTTTCTCCGAGGCACCGTTAACGAGTTATTAACGAAAAACAGTGACCAATAAGAATCGAGCACGGCCCACGCGAGGTGGCCGAGCCAACGGTCGAGGCGGTCGAATCCCAGCTCAGCTGACGCGAGCCGGCCGAGCCAATGAGCGAAACTGGGCTTCGTGCGCTGGTTGACTGGGCCGCCTCGCGTCAGTCGTACTCGATTCTTATTGGTCACTGTTTTTCGTTAATAACTCGTTAACGGTGCCTCGGAGAAAATGTTTGTAAAGGAAGAAGTTGCTTCAAATGATCTGAGGAACCCGCCATTTCCGGATTACGAGACATTTTTGGGAACACCCTGTATATAGCGGATATTTATCCAACCCCTGTCTTCTATTATTTTCTTAGGGGTTGTCCACCGTAGAACAGTTTTACGTTACAGCGACTCGATATGGACAAGTCAAAACGGCAGCATAATCTTCGATTTGGACCGCAACGTGCGGTTGGATATGAAAACCGCGTCGATTTGTTTTCGTTCCAGAATGAATCCATTTGTATCCTGACACTTATCTTCGTTCTGATCTCGATCTCGAATCATCTCCTAGACTTCTCGACGCCTTTCTACGAAGTCGTTGAAATTCTTATTCCAGGCGGTCTTATTCTTACGGACGGTGCCTACATCGAAACGAAATTTGAGGGAAATCGTGTTCCAGAACGTTGCACTTCGTTTGTAATCTCCGCTCTACATCGGATCTCTATTCGATCAGGCAGACAGCTTATGCTTCTTCCCGTGGGGAAGATTGAGGCAGCGGGAAGGGAGATTGCCAGCCAGTTTTGAATATCAATCTGGACTTCTGCGAAGATCGAAAGTTCTGTTGGGAATGCATTAACGTTAGGATTACGAGTTCGGCTGGCTCGTGCAGCTTCGTTAACCGTTCGAGTCCCAAGCTGCGCGATCGCGCTGTTGAGATTTTATGTCGAGAAAACCCAGCACATTTCGAACACTGCAGACAACCGACGGTGCGTTACCGATTGTCGAAGCGCGCTCAGATTTACCGAAGCGAGTACATCGCGCAGCTACGTTTAATGTAAATAGTACATTTTACAATAGGTAGAATAATACTATAATAATGCAATAATACACTACAAAATAAAAATTTTTAATTCATTGTTATCGCGCCGCTTGGTATTTCGCGACGTAAAATAAAACAAGCGCTGTCGCACTGCTTGGGTCTTTTCGTACTCGTTTAGAGAAAGCGCGGTTGCGCTGTTTGGGATTCTTCGACAGTGTTTTTTCAATACCCCCTGGGACTCAAACGGTTAAGGTGGCGAGAGTGTATCTACAGTAACTTATCTCGCATTGTCCCTCAGCTTGGGAACGTAAACGGACAACTTGGGAAGAAGAGGATACGATTATTCGTCCCTTCCGATTATCAATTGCAGGGTGCAATGAGAGATTCCTGAGATAATTTGAAGTAACTTTTTCCTTGGCGCAAATGCAATCCGCAGCTTTGTTTACGAATTATTAACGAAAGTACAGCGATCAATGGGAGACGACATCGGTTGGCGCGAGGCGCTGAGCCAATGAGCGGAACTGTGACGCCTTGCGCCAGCCAAGCTCGCCTCTCATTGGTCAGCGTTTTTCGTTGATAACTCGTAAACAACGCCGTAGATTGCATTTGCGCTAAGGAAAAAGTTACTTCAAATGACTTCAGGAACCCCTCGCGCTTCTCGGAAGTAACATAATTTTGGGAAAGCCTGTATAGTCGTATCTCCTTTTTCCAAGTTGTCCATTTTCGTTCCCAAGCTGAGGGACAATGTGAGAGAAATTACTGTATTCGGATTTCGGATTACCGGGATTCTCTCTCTCTCTCTCTCTCTCTCTCTCTCTCTCTCTCTCTCGCTTTTCGTCATTATGATAAAGAGAGGACAGCGGAAGAATGGCGGGACCAGTTAGAACGGCTATAAATCGCTTGAAAAGCAGGTCGTTTTGCTATATCTATCAGCAATCGAAGATGAGAAACTGTGTGAATGCATAGATGATCCAAACCTACGCGAGAAATGTGCTGACTTCGCCCTCTTATTTTTGTCTAATAAACTTGCGGCGTGGGGGAGTAACTTTATTCCTTCGAATCTAAAAAATTGACACGCCGAAATGGAAAACACGACGGTGGCGAAAGAAAATAATTTACGCGAAGAACACTTCTTGTAGCATCACAGTTAAACGAGATTATTAAGGAGATTGTTTCAGAACACTTGTTCGTTAACACTTGGTTTACGTAACCCGTGAAAATAACGGGTCACTAATTTTTTCATTTCCGATTATTCAGATTATTATTATTTACAAGGATGCATCATTTATGAATAAATTGCGGATATTATGCATCGAATGGTTGCAATTTGAAATAGTAAAAATATTAAAGGAATTTTGAAATGTCTAGGAATCGTTGTTAATCTATTAAAATTATTAAAGAAAGAAAGAACGTTCTTGTATTCGGCTTCTATTTCTTGCAATTGATGCAGACAGTTTCTATTTTGCATAAAAATTCGCAGTCTATTTATGAGTTTTTTTATTCAATATATGTGTTACTTGCGGCAAATATTACAATAACACTCTTACCGTTACTTTTATGAACTAATATAAAACAGCTGCTTTTAGGGTTAACCATGTAAGAAACCTAAATCAAGATCTATGAAATCCAACGAGATACATTAGAACATACTAACTACTGGCAGAAAATACTCGATCGATATCGTAAATATGAGCACCGAATAAATTATTTGGGCGTGTATTAATCTATACATATACATATACATATACATATACATATATTAGGCGAACATGGTCGACGATATTCCAGAAAAATATTAACTTGGTAATGTCCTTCCATGAGGCAGGAAGATGCTTAATTTTTATCTCGACGTTTATCCAAACGAATCCAATAAACGTAAACCACCACCTTGAGTATCCATCGAATTGTATCGATTGAATACGCTACTAATCAATTCGCTACCGATAAAAACACAATCGAGGTGGTCCCGTCAGATGATCTAGCCCGTACAATCGTCGCGGAAATGTTACCAGGGGTGGCACAACATCGCGACCATTCTAGGGTTTCCACATGCGAATCGCGTCTGGCGAGGTCAGATGATGCATCGTTGCATCAGACGAGAAACGCGAAGCGAACCACGATCTAGCCAAATCCCGAAACACCGACGGTTCAATCGACGCAAAGGTGAACAATCGCGCACAGAGAGAGAGAGAGAGAGAGAGAGAGATCCGGAGAGAGAAAAAAGAAAAAAAAATCTGTAAACCAGGCCACGCAAAAAGCGCGCTTGTCGCGCCGAACGGCGTGTCCTCGACGAATCGTTAACGCGTTGACCGCGAAGACGCCGTAACGCTGACACGATTGCTCGGTTGCATGACGATCGAAGGTGAAGGACTGCGACGAGGCGGACAGAGTCTCGGCGGCGTGCACGGCTACGAAATCGGACGCCGAAGATAGCCGGAAGGGATCGACGGCCACCGGGTCCGTGTACAACGACGAGGAAGGCTGCGGCACGCGGAAGAAGAAGAAGAAGCGCCGGAAAACACGGAACAAGCAGCAGCTGCAGCTGCACCATCTGCCGCTGGACCCGCCGGCCGACAACCAGCACACGGTGGTGAACCTGGCCTCGTCCTCGGACGAAGTCGAGGCGGTCGGCGAGTGCTCGAAACGGGACTCGTCCAGCAGCTTGGGCGGCGCCAGCAGGCACAACACCTTTCGGGAATCGTTGCTCACGGTGCTCGGCAAGCTGGTGATTTGGAAGGGCACCAGGTACCGATCGGCCACAGCCGCGTCCACTTCGTCCTCGGCGCCGCCGAATTCACCGCCGCCGACAGAGTGCATCGGCCGCAGCACTTCCTTCTTTTCCAGCGGTGAGTCTCGTCGGGTTAGCCTCCCCTTCATCCTCGTAGAACGACGTTCACCTTCTCCCACCCTGGGCCCTAAGACCTTCTTGTGGCAGCGGCGACCTGTTCTTCACCCTGTAGAATATCGTTGACCCTGTTCCACCTTCGACTTTATCGTTAACAGACCTTCTCTTTGATCTTCGATTCGTCCATCCACTTCCACTGCTCTCCCACTCTCCGGTATCGTGACATTTGAAATGACATTATTCGAAATATCATTCCGAGTAATACGAGATTTTGTTTCACAGTTCTTTCCGGGCGCCTGCGATCCCATTCCGAAATAACATTACATTCGAAATGTTATTTCAAATAACGCGTCGTCTTATTTTGTAATCATTTGAGATAACGTGTTATTTTATTTTACAATCGTCTGAGATAACGTGTCATTTTTATTTTATAATTATCTGAAATAACGTGTTGTCTTGTTTTATAATCATTTCAACTAATTATGGGGTTAAATTCAATGTGCTTGGAGCTGCTTTACACATTTTTGCTTTATGCGAAATTGTTGCGAAGATCTCACAAGAGAAAATCTTTCCGTTTATTATTATTTTGCGGATTACATTTGTTTTGCAAAGGGGGCATTGCTCTTAAGCTGAAAGCTGTTTGTTTGAAAATTTCATAAAATAAATTTGATCTTCTTGGAACCCGCTAGCAGTTGCGTTAGCCTGCTCTTCACCCTGTAGAACATCGTTGACCCAGTTGCACCTTGGATTTTATCATTAGCAGATCTCCTCTTTGATCTTCGATTCGTTCATCCGCCCCAGTGCCCCAACCCTGGATTTTAGCCTTCTTTTCCAGTAGTGAATTTAGAAGCGTCAGCTTCCTCCTCTCTTCATCCCGTAGAGACATGGCCGACCTTGCTCCACCTTGAATTTCAGGGCTTCGATCTTCGATTCGTCCACTCGCATCCGAGTTTCTTGCTCCCCGAGTTCGTAGACGTGTTATAGTTTGGCTGACCGAGAACCAGTTTGGGGTCAGGACGAACGTAGAAGCCCTAGAACCGTGGTACAATACGGTCTGTAGCAGTAGCGAGAAGTTCGGTTTAATTGCGATATAGTAGGAGAATGGCAATCTAAATCTAATGCGGACGTTGGAAGAGATTGAGATCAACGCTGGTTTTGGAGTTTGGGATTGTAGCGGTACCGAGAAGTTGTAGAACCGTGGCGACCTCTGGGAGCTAGTTTAATTGGGAGACCGGTGCAATTCTGAAATTAGTGCGAGCACCAAAAGTAGCAGCGGATGCGTGGAATCGATAGCACCGCGAGACATTGACGGTGGTAAAAGTGTAAAGCCGGAATGAATGTACTAGAAGCACTGGAATTGTAGAATCGTAGCGTCTGTAGGAGTAAAAAAAAAAATAGGTAAGCTCGGTTCTAGAATCAATGGACGTCGCGTATTGGTGCCAAGCTGAAACGCTAGCAGTCTGGAACCGGTGCGAAAAATTCGGGGTAGGAAGAAGTTGAGCATAATAGTTAGACTGCGGATAGAAAAATTGTCTGCGTCAATTGTAAGACGTAGGATCGAAGAATTCTCTCTGAAATAATTTTAATAAGTTGTAATTAATATGTCAACATTTCTAGTTTCTTTCAATATTTTTATTATACATTTTTCTTTTCACCGAATTTTCTTTTGACCATTATTTTATGTAATTCTTCTCGTCTATGCAATTTTCCCATAAATGCATAAAAAATCCGCACTCTAATAATGGTAGTTCGAGGCGAGACAGGGAGAATGTAGGGAAAAGACTGGACAATGACATCGGTCGTATAGGCCTGGCGAGGAGCGAAGATCAGTTTAATTCCGGGACAAATTGGTAGCCAGCTGGGACAGTAGCAATTTGAATCCAATAGGAAGTTAAGGTCTGTAACAGATTTAGGCCAGCAGTGGTTTCAAGTTAGGACGACTGTAGGTGCACCGAAACAGTAGAATCGTTGCGTCTACAGAACCAAAGGTGGTCACAGTTTAATTCGAGCATCGATAGAATTGTCAAATTGGTGGGACACTTGTTCGACAGCGGTCCGGCATGGCAAAGGAGAGCCAGACATAAATGCCCATCAATTGCCACGACCAGTGGTACAACATAGAAATCATCCGACTTCCGGTATCTACTGGTTTCCAACCGGTCTGGCCAAACTATACTCACGTCCTACAGAATTCGACTTCGAAGATATGTAGCTGGTAGCACGCTGGTCTCATTAATTCTCAAAGACCCTGTGCAAGTTTAGAGACACAAGCAAGCACACCATGCTCGGCGACTCGGCATGTACAATAAATTCTCTCAAATTATCCTTCAGCTTGTAAACAAATTGTTCTTCCCAAATTGTTTTCTCATTTTTATTCAAAAGCTGAGGGACAATTAGGCAGAGTTTACGGTATAAGCTAACGGTGCCAGATACTGTGGGGGTAACCAATTACTGTGCCTTTTGTTTATTTTCAAGCATATTTAACGCCAAACCTACCGCGACAGAATTTCCTTATTTCGCAATTCTGCAAATTTTAGAGACTCTCTCATGGAAGATATTCGAATAAATTATAAAAACTTGACAAAATTTCAATAAATTCGATCTTCTCATTTTGATGAAGCAATGCACACCATCGGTGTTAACTTTATTGTATTTATCGTACGAGACGTCAAATTTGTCTTTCTTTGCTTGCGTCATGGGAGAATTTCAATCTACAAAAGAAACTTTGAAATTTATCTTTGTGTCATTGAGAAATGCTATTTATAGACTGCGGATTTTACGCATTTATCACAAAATCGAGCAGATGCAATTTAAAATAACGAAGAGATTGAAAGAATTCGAAAATGTTAATGTATTACTTTCAATTTATTGAAAAAAAAATAATTAAAGAAAGAACGAATTCGCCATTCAGTTTTTATATATTTTAATAAGTGCGGACAATTTCTATTTTGCTTAAAAATCCGCAGTCCAGTCGTTTAAATAGCGGAAGTTGCGTTTAGTAGCGATGATACCTGGAGCCCACCAACAGGGCACAGTAATTGACTCCTCTACGCTAGTTTTAGTTCCGGTAGATGCGACTCGGCAATCGCCGGATAATCGTTCGACGTTAGTATCCTGCGGTAGTTTCTTAATTTTTAAATTCGCCATAAAGTCCGGCGCACTTGACCCGATTCCCTTAATGCCCGGACTCTATGAAAGGGCACTTGCAACGTGCAAAAAGGAACAGTCGATTGCGTCGGAAGTACTTCGTCCGTGTTGTAATCAGATGGCGGCGGCCGGCGCGGCGCGGTGTTGTAACATTTGCAAATTTCAGCCTCCATTTAGATGAAGCGGTTACGATAATGCGCTCTCGGGCCCGGGAAGAACTGGCGGCGCGTTAGTCAACCCGGTTGTCCCCGCCTAATCCTGTAATCCGTTTTATTTGTAAAATCCAACCGCCACCCTCGACGTGTGTCTCTCGTTGCGCAACGGCCCGCCAATCGTGTTCACCACATTCGCGCAAACGAGCTCGCATCGGCCGCCACCGACTTAGCTCTTTTGTTTACATGATTTTAATTGCAGCTTCGCACGCGATTCCGGGGCTATCTCGTTTTGCAATTACGATAAATTATTAGCCTGAATCACCGTTTACACGGGGTGCTCTCTCTCCTGTCGGCTGGCAAGTTTCGCGACGGATCGCGACTTTCGCAAGCCTCGAGGTTTCTCATTATGATTTACGATGCCGTCCGCTGAAACAATTTCTGGGACAGACCGAGAGAGCCTCGGATTTTTGGAATTCGCGACTTTCAATGTCTTCCGAGGCCAGTTATTATTTTGTAGTATTGTTTGAACGCAAACGTTGGATACGGTGGAAAATTTGTTCCGCTGTCTTTCTATGCATTTTCTTATTAATTTGGTTCTGTAACGCTAAATCTACCGAACAATAAATCATTAAAAAAAAAATGGCAGAATCACGCTGAAAAACATGAGCATGGAAATTTTCATTTTGAATGATTTTCGAAAGTTTGCGATAATAGGAATTATACATGGCACAAGTAGCTGAAAAATATTCTCGTGTTTGGGAATTAAATGAAAAGAAAAAGTACATCGTATGCTCGTAATCGAATGATTTATTCGGTTAATTCCAATAAACGAGTGTTTACAGTGTCAACAAGCTCCAGATAAAAAGTGCGTAGCTCGTCAAAATGACCGGCATATGGTAGGTTTAGTGTTAACACATCAAAGGCGGGGGATCTTGACGAAAGTATGCTTAGGTAACGCGGCGACCGCCCCGCCTCGTTTTTCGTCCTAGAGCGGGCGATATTTTGCGTAATCATAAAAAAATTTAGACTTAAAAAAGTTTATTTAAACTCTTAAAACTGAAAGAAATATTAAAAAAGAACTAAACACTAATTACAAAAAATGTTTTAATGTACATATTTATGAGAAGTCGAGATAAATCGTAGTACTACGACTCCCGCCTTTAATGTGTTAAGATCGCGGGTGCATTAGCGTTGCCGATGTCGATCTCGAGGAGGAAGACAAAGCGCGATTTTGAAAACTCCTCCCACGCGCGTATAAATAGAATAGAGACAACAGCGTCGAAAAGTCGCGCGCGAGCGTGTTACCATCGAAATCCGAGAAATAAAAGGCTCGAAATTGTTGCCTGTGTACGCCGATTGTTATATCGTGTCGCAACGATGACGGGCACGCGCTGTTATTTAGTTTCGTCGCTATTTAATTTGCGGAGACGGCGTTCAGCTGTTTCATTCATACGTAACACTTAATTGTTACTTTCACTGGCTTTTGCTATCCCGCGTCCTGCTCGGCCGCTAATAACGAGCCACGAAATGGAATCGGCGCGTTGCGTTTCTTCGACGTTCGAACGAAATGTTTAAGGGAAAACGCTATCTGCAGAGCTGGAAACGACGCTGCGCGCAAAAAATGAGAATCATCGATCGTGTTTACCGACAACGCAGTGGCGATCGAATCCGCGGGTTGCAAGATAACGTGGTCTCTCTTCTTTATTTTTCAGAAACGGAGAGGAGAATTCGCGCCAATAATCGCGAGTTCAACTCACAGTTTAATTATGCGGTAAGACGATGCTCCGTAATATATCTGTTCGCCGGCGTCGATTAAAACCGGACGACGGCGAGCACTTTCAGAACGATGACCGAACTTTTCTCTATTCTATTTCTTTTTTAGAACAACTACATCAAGACGTCCAAGTATTCGGTTCTGTCGTTCCTACCATTAAATTTATTCGAGCAATTTCAACGGCTCGCCAACTTTTACTTCCTATGCCTGCTGGTGCTTCAGGTGATCCCCGCTATCTCCTCTTTGACCCCCATCACTACAGCCATACCCCTTATAGGGGTGCTCATGCTCACTGCCATCAAAGATGCTTACGACGATTTTGTGAGTATGAAAGACATCCGACTAGACGCTTTTCTTGNCGATATTTTGCGTAATCATAAAAAAATTTAGACTTAAAAAAGTTTATTTAAACTCTTAAAACTGAAAGAAATATTAAAAAAGAACTAAACACTAATTACAAAAAATGTTTTAATGTACATATTTATGAGAAGTCGAGATAAATCGTAGTACTACGACTCCCGCCTTTAATGTGTTAAGATCGCGGGTGCATTAGCGTTGCCGATGTCGATCTCGAGGAGGAAGACAAAGCGCGATTTTGAAAACTCCTCCCACGCGCGTATAAATAGAATAGAGACAACAGCGTCGAAAAGTCGCGCGCGAGCGTGTTACCATCGAAATCCGAGAAATAAAAGGCTCGAAATTGTTGCCTGTGTACGCCGATTGTTATATCGTGTCGCAACGATGACGGGCACGCGCTGTTATTTAGTTTCGTCGCTATTTAATTTGCGGAGACGGCGTTCAGCTGTTTCATTCATACGTAACACTTAATTGTTACTTTCACTGGCTTTTGCTATCCCGCGTCCTGCTCGGCCGCTAATAACGAGCCACGAAATGGAATCGGCGCGTTGCGTTTCTTCGACGTTCGAACGAAATGTTTAAGGGAAAACGCTATCTGCAGAGCTGGAAACGACGCTGCGCGCAAAAAATGAGAATCATCGATCGTGTTTACCGACAACGCAGTGGCGATCGAATCCGCGGGTTGCAAGATAACGTGGTCTCTCTTCTTTATTTTTCAGAAACGGAGAGGAGAATTCGCGCCAATAATCGCGAGTTCAACTCACAGTTTAATTATGCGGTAAGACGATGCTCCGTAATATATCTGTTCGCCGGCGTCGATTAAAACCGGACGACGGCGAGCACTTTCAGAACGATGACCGAACTTTTCTCTATTCTATTTCTTTTTTAGAACAACTACATCAAGACGTCCAAGTATTCGGTTCTGTCGTTCCTACCATTAAATTTATTCGAGCAATTTCAACGGCTCGCCAACTTTTACTTCCTATGCCTGCTGGTGCTTCAGGTGATCCCCGCTATCTCCTCTTTGACCCCCATCACTACAGCCATACCCCTTATAGGGGTGCTCATGCTCACTGCCATCAAAGATGCTTACGACGATTTTGTGAGTATGAAAGACATCCGACTAGACGCTTTTCTTGTGCACGGGGTGATCTCTTAATGACGTTCTCTGGCGAGAGACAATACTTGACAAAACTGTTTTTTTTTTTGCTTGAAAGATCAGTCGAATGGACGGAAAAATGATTTTGGGAATTCTTTTTCTCAAAAACTGCAAGACCACGGTCGAAGACACTTTTCTTATTTAAAATGATCTGTCGTAAAGGGTATTTCATAATAATTTTGTTGGTTTAGAAATATCGACCAGTTTCAAAGTTCTGGCTAACATACTGGCGATTCTGTCAGAAAACGTGGTACACGATGATTTAAATTGAAATGTCGATATTTGTGCGACATACTATACATATTTTCGTTCATTCATTCATGCCCAGCGCGGAACGTTGGACCACTTATTCGATAGAGATGACTCACGGCGAGTTAATTTTAAATGCACGTGCAAATGATACATATTCTTAAAGCAGAGATGTTCTTCGATCAGATACCTCTGATTCGATTATAGTACGGTAATTAAGAATTAATTCTCCGAGGAGACCTGTCATCTTGATCGTAACACGATCCTGCCTTCGGCCTGAACCACCGCTCACGGTGCATTATTCATTTCTGACCTTGAACTGAACTGCAAAATCCTCGATCTTTATGAATCTTGTTTTATTCATCTTGACCGCGAAATTACACGCTTCAATCAAAAATTGATCCAAAGGCAATCTTCGCGAATACTTTTATACGATATCTGAAGAACTTGTATGAATGCATTTCATTGTGTCGTGTCATATAGAAGCAACAGATCGGGCCAACAATTAAATAAGAATCATTGAGTAGAGACTGATTAGATAAGAATAAATCGATTAGACAATAAATCACCCCTTCTTGTAATTGAATTGTATTTAAGAATACTGTACATGTCGAGAATTTCATAAAGAAATTGCAGGTCAGATAAACGATTGAACAAGAATTCTTGCGTCGGGACTAATTAGATAAGAATAAATTGATTAGACAAGAAATCACCCCTTCTTATGATTGTATTGTATTATGGAATACTTTATGTATCAAGAATGTTTTTAACGATCCTTGTTAATATACAAAATGGATTCTAGCAACGGCATAGCAGCGACTCGCAAGTGAACAATCGAAAATCCCAGACTCTCCGAGGTACTAGTCTCCGAGAAGAGAAGTGGTCGCAAGTCCAAGTAGGCGATGTAATCAGAATGGAGAACGATCAGTTCGTTGCTGCCGACGTCCTTCTTTTATCTACTAGTGAGCCGAACGGTCTTTGTTACATTGAAACTGCGGAATTAGATGGGTTTGTATTAACATCGAAGATTCTCTGAATTGTAATGAACAGAAATAGATCAATAATAATAATCAAAGTTCATAACACTAACGTTACCCTTTCAGGGAGACGAATTTGAAGTGTCGGCAGTGTTTAGCCGAAACTGCCGAGATGATGGACAACCATGAAATGATTGGTCAATTCGATGGAGAGATTGTTTGCGAAACACCTAACAACTTGCTAAATAAATTTGATGGTACTCTCACGTGGAGGGGACGAAAGTGAGTAATCTCTTTAGTAATCGTAAGGTCCATAGAAAGCTGTCGGTTACTTCACAGTACTCTCGGCAATTAAAAAACTGAGAAAACGTAAATACTTAATTGGTAGTATAAATGAACAAGCCTAGTAATATAGCAAGTCCTTGCAAAGTCACACCGGTTCTGTATAAATTATGATGTAAATTTATAATTGCCAACGTAACCTCGGTATAAGTTTCCACTGCTTCGTCTACTAATTGTCCTGTGTTTGTTGCAGATACGCATTGGACAACGATAAAATAATATTACGTGGTTGCGTGCTCAGGAACACGCAATGGTGCTATGGGGTGGTCATCTTTGCAGGCAAGGATACCAAATTGATGCAAAACTCAGGGAAGACCAAATTTAAGAGGACCTCTATAGATAGGCTGCTGAATCTTCTGATCATCGGGATAGTGTTCTTTTTACTTTCGATGTGTTTGTTCTGTATGATCGGCTGTGGTATTTGGGAGAGCCTCGTGGGCCGTTATTTCCAAGTGTATCTGCCATGGGACTCGCTGGTGCCTACCGAGCCCATGGGCGGTGCCACAGTGATCGCTCTGCTTGTGTTCTTTTCTTACGCTATTGTATTGAACACGGTGGTGCCAATCAGTTTGTATGTGAGTGTCGAAGTTATCCGATTCGTTCAGTCGTTTTTGATTAACTGGGATGAGGAGATGTACTACGCGCCCACGAATACGCACGCTAAGGCAAGGACTACCACGTTAAACGAGGAGTTGGGACAAATAGAATATATATTTTCCGATAAGACCGGAACACTCACACAGAATATTATGACTTTTAACAAGTGTTCCGTGGCGGGGAAATGTTACGGGGACGTTATCGACGAAGTTACCGGCGAAGTCGTCGATCTGAGCGAGGTGAGTCTGTTTGTCTCTCCATATGTAACCAGACTCGGTGCTGATCATGGGGTATGTTGCTATTATACCGTTCAATAGAGACGAATAGTCTTGTTTTCTTTGGCATCTGAATGTGTTCAGTAAGCGTACCAATTTAATGTCTAAGTGGAGCATACACGTTTGTTATTGCAACAGAATTTATTGTGACTCGCAATGTTCACTGCATCAATGATACTTGGAAGTTCTCCTTGTCCTGTAGACGCTTCGCATCAGAAAATACAATTTAATGGTTTCACTACAGAAAATGAAACAAATTTATTCGTGAAGATGCGTTCACTTTTTATGTACGGAGTGTCTCACATGATATTGCAGTTGCAATGCTATAAATTAATATCAGGTGAAACACCCCATATTCACGCTTCCATAGAATACGATTAAGTCGCAAAAAAAGCAGAAAAAGCATCGGTACTCGATAAATTTCATTCATTTCATGTTTGTTATCAAGAATGTAATTTTTTCAATGTTGAAATATTTTCAAAGAAATGGTTTCTATCGTTTTCTATTTCTACGTGTTCATTTTTTATTACGATTCTATTTCTTGATGACAAACTCAACACGATCCAATCATTTCATAGTTTGGCCATATTTTGCATAAGTTTTCATGTACGTCACTTAGCATGTGTGTGCTGCATGTAGACGGACAAAGCTGCCCAAACGCCAACGATGAGATGGAAAAACGGCCAAGAATTTGTTCAAGTTTATACATCTATAACTGGTCCGAACGTACGTCTATTGGAACACGTGGACAGGATATCCAATATGTTACCAGAACGAGGCATCTATGGCAGTTCGATGATTCCACATAAATTCTCAGTACGCATGTTACAATTAAAACACTCCTTCCACCAAGCGAAGAGTGTTTCGTTCAATAGCTCCCTGTTCTTATCCATTGCTCTATGTCTCTGTGCTTTCTATTGCAAGTAATTAGAGTTTTCACATGGCACCAGCATTATTATTCGCACTGAACGCAATGCTTATATGTTTGCTGAAAACGCTTGCTTCATTAGCATCTGGAATGACATTAAGTTCTATCCAAACGTTTCTAAAATGGTCTAGTAAAATCTACATAAATTCAAAACCTTTATAATACTTAATTCTATCTTCAATTAGCATACTAATTTGCATGCATAGAATGCCACCACTGCCCGCTTAGATTATATAAATTAATGTTCACGATGCTTTAAAGAATTATAAAATTCTAACATCTTATGTGCCCGCTGACTTACACCAAATCTATTTATCTGGAGGCAAGGTATTTAACTTCGAGTTCTGGTACTTTCATTTCCACATACGGTCTTTTGCGTGCCGCAATTAACATTATACCGACGCGATAATAGAGAAAGGTAAAACACCATAGTAACGTACGACTGTGCTTTTACAGACGTTACCACCGTTAGATTTCTCGTTCAACAAAGACTACGAACCAGAATTCAAGTTCTACGACACCGCGCTGCTGGAGGCTGTGAAGAGGAACAACGAGGATGTTCACAGCTTCTTTCGGCTGTTGGCGCTCTGTCATACTGTCATGCCCGAGGAGAAGAGTGGCAAGCTAGAATATCAAGCGCAATCGCCAGACGAGGCTGCCCTTGTGTCCGCAGCCAGGAATTTCGGTTTCGTGTTCAAAGAAAGATCTCCAAACAGCATCACGATCGAGGTGATGGGCAATAGGGAAGTTTACGAGCTGCTCTGCATCCTCGACTTCAATAACGTTAGGAAAAGAATGTCCGTAATCTTGAGGAGGGATGGTCATCTTAGATTGTACTGTAAAGGAGCGGACAATGTTATCTACGAACGCTTGAAAAACGGCAGTGAGGACATCATGGCGAAAACGTTGGATCATCTTAATAAATTCGCCGGTGAGGGCTTGAGAACATTGTGCCTTTCGGTCCGAGATCTGGACGAACAGTTCTTCAATGATTGGAAACAACGTCATCAAGAAGCAGCGTTGAGCCATGAGAACAAGGATGACAAGTTAGATGCGATCTACGAGGAGATTGAGAAAGACATGACGTTGTTAGGCGCGACTGCCATTGAAGATAAGTTACAGGACGGTGTACCTCAAACTATTGCTAATTTAGGTCTTGCTGGTATCAAGATCTGGGTATTAACTGGAGATAAGCAAGGTAAAGATATAAACATAAATTAGCATAAGTTACGTCTAGTATATATACGTTATTAAACAGCTTGCCCCACCCTAAGATTGAACAACATTATACTACTTAAATTTCTTCATAGTATTTCTTATTAGTAGACGAAATATGGTACACAGATCGTTGTCAAAATGATTCAAGAAAGTGGGGCACTGTATAAATGTATAAATATGTATATATATGTCCCAAAAATGTCTCGTATTATGGAAATGTGGGATAGCTGAGATCATTCTAAGTAACTTTTCCCTTTGCGAAAATGCAATCTACAGCTTTGTTTACGAGTTATTAATGAAAAACACCGATCAATGAGACACAATGGCGCGAAACACAACATGGTCAATCAATCGAGTGCCATGTGCTCCTACCACTGATTTTGACAGCTGAAGGGGGACTCTGGTGCCATGTTCAAATCAATGAACAAGTCACGGAGCATGAACTTTCGATATTTTTTTTACCATGTGGCAGTGATAATTTTAAGAAAAACGCTGTTCATCCTTATTTCAGAATGTCTGAAGAATATTTACTAATTTTTCGGACCCGAAATAATAAGTATGACAGCCGTTTTAATTTTCTGGTGTGCATGACACCTCATGCGATCATATAAAATTTTTATGCAAGGTGAAGATTAACAAAGTTCGTAAATGTTAATTTATTAAATTTTAATTTAAATAATTCCGCGTCCGAACACAATTCAACGAGCGATTCGCAAAGCTAATTTAATAAATAATAATCGTGTTAAAGG